GGGGGGGGGGGGTGGTATTGATTATTTTTAAGCTGATCTAAGCACCTGTTGGCACAAAGAGTGTGTACCTTTCCCAGAGCTAGTTTTGGTGAAATGACGGCAAACTCCTCTAACCGACATGCAGACTTTTAAGTGAGCTGGTCATCAGCGATTGGCCGGACTCGCCAGTGAAGGAACTTGGTCGTAATTCTCGAGGATAATTACGACGTCACCTTTAGAACTGTGCCGCGTGTCACCATACACATTCATTAGCATTTAAAATAGGACAAAAGTTCCTGATGTCAACACTATGCATAGCTTTCCTGCTTTTCCCTCATCACTGTAAAAGTGAATTTCTAAGTTGGGGGGGGGGGAAGGGTGTGGGGATGAAAAGTAGAGCTACTGGAAATCGGAATTTTAATTCCCAGTAGCTTAGGTAAGTTTGTGCATGATGTTGCCGCAGAGTCTAACAGGAGCAAGCAAACGACACACTGACATTTGAAGCCTGGTTGCAACGTACTATCAGAATTGCTGGGTCTGTAACTTGAGTACAACAGACATGGTCTAAGAATGAGGTAAAGTTCACAGGTGCTTTGCATTTGCAGACGGAAGCTTTCGGATTTACTATTTTTATGCATTTTTTTGGTCTTTTTTTCCCTACATTTGTAGTTTGTTTTTTTGCATCTCTATTTGTCATTTTGTTTTGCTGTTTCTGTTTATCCCCTCTCCCTCATCACTAAGCGATGCACGGCCGGCTAGGCATATGCCGATCAGCAGAACTTGGAACGTGTGCGTGTGTGTGTGTGCATGCGCGAGCTCGTTTGTGTGTGGTTTTTTTGGGGGGGGGGGCCGGCTGTTGCAGTGTCCCCTTCATTTGCATTGAAGCGTCGCCAGTCCCAGCCTCGGCTCTGTTTGTAACCGGGGGCTGATAAACAACGCGGCGGTACGGAATGTCCCCCCCGAGCGACCGGCTCCCGCCGCCCTCGAGGGCTTTCTGAGGAGACTTCACTCTTCTCCTTTAGAAACTTTGATGTGGCTTTTTTTTTCATGTCTCCTCTCTTTAAGAGACAGTGGAAAAAGCAGAAAGAGAAAAAAGCGAAAGAGAGAGAGACAGAGAGAGAGAGAGAGAGAGAGAGCGTTTCATCAGGAGAGGAGCGCGGTCTTAAGAAAACAGGTGCACAGGCCCTGGGGAGATGATTCTGGCAGAAGACGTGAAGCGTTTTCGGCCGTCTTCACCCGCACCGTTCAGTCCTCCCACACCATTTAACATGTGATTCTTCAGCTCCTTCCGCCGGTGACCTCGGTGGGCGTCGATGCGCCGGGTGGGCTGCCTCTTCATCCAGCTCTCCCCGGTTCCCTCATTGTCGTCGCCGGCGTGCGCATGCGGCCTTTACGAGCCACCCGAGCATTCTCTCTTCCCTCTCGGCCCAAGGACTCCGGAATCGTCGATGGCTGGGGGCCTCACTGTCGTTTCACGGATCCCTCGATGGGCCCGAACCGGGGGGGGGGTAGAAGTACTTGAGGTGAACAGCGGTACGAAGGCTGCCGTCAGAGACGGTAACCGGCTACAAAATCGCTATCTGCCCCCAAGGCCTCAGACCGTGAAGTGATAATTAAAGCAGGAGGATGAAATGTACAAATCAGGGCAAAAAAATTTCATCGCTGACAAGCAGGCCTTGATTTTAGTGAGAAAAGAGGTAAAGGAGAGATGAACCGCTTCACGGTCTCCTGTCTCACTGAATGACATAGATTTAGCAAAGGAGATATTTCAGAATATTTTAAACAAAAGCAGGTAATTAAGGACTTCCAGACCTAAAGAAATATAAAATAAATCCACATTTTACAGACATCTTATATTGTCCCGCTTTCCTATACTGTACTTATGGGCAGTTGTGTTACTAAAAGCTAATCCTTTGTACTCTAGTACTGAAATATGAATAATTGTGTTTTTTGAAAAGTTGCCGTTTCACAACGTGGTTTAGTACTCACAGAACAGAATTTAAATATGAAATACTGAATTTATATGAGCTGATGCGGAAATATGCTACTTTTCAGTATTTTTGCTTCTAAATTCGTATCCGTCACGTCCTGGATTGACGAGCAGTATGGGAATTGCTGGAATGACATGGGTTTTGAGACGAGCCCGCTACAGACGCCGTCCAAGCGGCCGTCTCCCTCAGAAGGCCTCCGCCACATTTTTAAAAGCGTCTGTGCTAATTGCCGTAGGAGTTGGGCCTAAAAAGACAAACTTGGGTGAAGGCGTTCTCTCTGCAGCCTCAAACGATTTATGGATTTAGCTTTTCTCCAAAAAAAAAAAAAAGTTAAAAGCAGGGGGCCATATGAAGGAATTAAGTTGCCCCCCCTCCACCTCCCATTAGAGCAAATTCTTGCACTCTTGGCAAGGTCCCTGTTGCCCCTACGAAATCCAACCAGGACGACAGAGCTCATTGATACATCGCCCCTTAACATTTTATCCCCTCTCCTCAGGCCTCCAAGGCAATCCATCACAAGAGGACGCAGGAATGAGCCCATTTATGTTAGCCTGAGCTGGTCAGCACACCAGCGCTCCTCACACGGTCACTACCCAGCTCCAATTGGTAAATGACATGCGTAGCATCTGAATACTAAAATATGCTAATGACGGAATTTCCAGAGCTCTTCCTTCAAGCTGAATATGTATAGTGTTATGTGGCCCTGTACACTCCTTGGTGTTAATGCATCACATGACACATTGTGTTTCATCTGACCAGTTACTTTACTTTACTTTTCTGCGGTATTATTTATTGTTCACCAAGTTTTATTAATTTACCGGTAAAAGTGCTTCACCATGCTGAAAAGGTTTTCACAATGTTTCTTAAGTTAGTAGTTATTTAATAAATTAGGCATTTTTGGAGTCCTTGATGTTACGTGTAAATCAGTAGAGATTTTTGACTGTGGATCACTCAGCCAACATTTGCATATTTATTTATATTTGCAATATACTTTTTGCTGTCTAATTTGTTTAATGAATATTGATTTTGACCACTGTGGATGATGAAGAAATTACTTATCAAATTTAAGTGCCATATCTCAAGGAGAAAATAATCACATTTGCATTTAAAAGATTTTAATATTTTAATCCTGTGTTTAAAAAAGGATGAGCTTATGCACCACTGAAAGATAAGGCCATCCAAAACAGCCACTTTCACAAGCCAACTGTAGTGGACCCTCTTGGTAAATCACACATTGTTAATGATCATGGAGAATTATAATTATTAAATTAGTTACTGAATTATCACATCTTTGGCAACTTGACAAATAAATGTGATTAAAAACAATAATGTAATATAGGTGTAAGTTACAAGGACTGTGAATGATTAATTTTTTTTATTACTTTTCCTATATTTCTGCATGTTTTTGTCCCAAAAGTCTTTATGGTGAATTTGAAGCTGGATTATTATGCAAATAAATTTTTAATCATCCCGGGAAGGAAATAAACGTGGCTGCTTTGGGCTGCAGTGACTCAGTTGCTGGGCAGGTAAGTGAGAGATAATTCTCAACTTCCTCCTTCTCTGCATTCCCTCATCTCCGACTGTCGTCTAACCTTCCTCATAATCCATCTCATCTTGAGCTGATGGGAATCGCTTTTATCCCACCACTTCTGGAGGTACCCGGGGTGGGAGGGGGCAGGGGGGCACAATCTCCCCATTCATGGGCTCTCCTTGGAGCCCGCGCTGCACGAAGCCCCCGCCGGCCCTGATTAATGGCCGCTAATTAGCAATGTTAATGACCAGGTGTCCGGGGGCTGGCCCCCACTCCTCTCAGCATGGAGGGGCTTCTCGTGAAGAGCGCCCCCCTGCCCCCACCCCCACGGATCCGTTCCCAGAGACCCCCGTGCCGCTCAGCTGCCCATCCTAGAGTGCCCCTCACTCGTTAAGGGGAAGGAGGGGGACTGGAGATGGGGGTGGTGATTTTGGGGGGGGGGGGGGCAGAGCAGTCCCTGTTCCTGCTTTCACTGGAGTAATTAAGGTCAGCACTGGTCC